TAGTCGTAATTGGAGTAGTACTGGTAATAGATCATTTGCAGCAGTAGTAGTAGTAGTAGTAGTAGTAGTAGTAGTAGTAGTAGTAGGAGTAGTAGTAGTAGTAGTAGTAGTAGTAGTAGTAGTAGTAGAAGTAGTAGTAGTAGTAGTAGTAGTAGTAGTAGTAGTAGTCGTAGTAGTAGTAGTAGTAGTAGTAGTAGTAGTAGTAGTAGTAGTAGTAGTAGTAGTAGTAAAAGTAGCTATTAGTATTAGTCGTTGCCGGAAAAGCAGCAGTGGTAGCAGCAGCAACCTGCGGACGCCACGGCATGCATGTGAACACTACAATACTACTGTCGACACCATCGCAATTCTGTGAACACCGCGCCATACCTGTGTGGATGCCAGAAGCCATACGTGTGTAGAAACCACACGCTTGGTACCTTCAAGGGGGAGAGAGAATGGACGGGGGTCGACCTCCCGTAACGGACGTTGCGGTTTTATGAGAAACATGCAAGATCTACCTTGCACCAGAACGCGCTCAGACGTGCCACCGCCCAGAGGTTGGGTTCTCGGTGGCGGTGGTCTCTGTTTATCCTCTGGTGCGATCGGGGATTCGAGGATCAGAGGCTCGAGGCCCAGGGGTCAAGCTTGGGCTTCTGTTCGACCTTGATAACCTGGGCACCACGTCCGGATCGGTCTGAGATCCTTGCCAGAACAAGCTCCCGAACAGTTCCGGGAATTGAATATTGACCCCCGTGCCCATGTCTCCACGCGTCTGAAAGAATTACGGTGGGCGGTTTTTTTTAAGTGTGCGGCCTCCAGGGAGCCCTGACCGGGCCCAGAGCCAGTCAAACAACTGCTCGGGACGACAAGCAAGTCTGTTGGGAGGGGCCCAGACCTCTGGGGAGCCACTTTGCAAAACGAGCACGACCTCGGCAGTGCGTCTGGCTGCGTGTGTGCCTTCTTCACGCCGCGTGAACTGGGCCGGTCCGCGCGCTTGCCTGGCCTTACTATGCCGTGCTGGCGCGCGCGTGTCCGCGACGCAAAATAACTTAATGTGTGTTAGTTAGTGTGTGTGTGCGCGCGTACGTGAACAAATCGCGTGCGGGTCGCGCTGGGACCGATCACGTTCAAGGACTTGCTTAGCTGGGCTCGCTCCCCTTCCTTTCCCCGCCTTTCTGTTGTGCCTCCTTGCCTTCTCCCTCGCCTCCCTCCTCGGCGTGTATTTCCTTCCCGCCTCGCGTATTTCCTTTCCCTGGTGGCTCACCTCGGCTCCCCCTCCTCCGTCAGTCGACCCGTGGTCCCTCGCGGCCCTCGCGCCCGTCCATCTGTCTCCCGCGGCTGCTCGCCGTCGCTCGCTCCTCGCTCTCCGCTTCGCTCTGCTCGGCCCCCCCTTGCCCTGGCCTCCCTGACCCCTCGCCGTTCTGTGCTGCTTGGCCCAGTTGGCACGTGCCCTCGCTGAACCTATGACTTCCTCACGGTCAGCGGCTCCCTCGGCCAGCCCGCGGGCGCTCAAAGCGTGTATGGTGTGTGTGTGTGTGTTTGTGTTTGTGTGTTGTGCGTGTGTTTGTGCTTGTGCTTGTGCTTGTGCTTGTGTTTGTGTTTTTGGGTGCGTGCATGTGTATGGGTGCGTGCATGTGCGTGCAACTGTGTGATACTTGTTTCTGCGTTCACCCGCGCTCGCCTAGCGCAGCAAACTCTATCTCCCTCTCTCTCTCTCTCTATTTGTGTCCTGCACGCCGGCTAGCCTATCGCAATTCACCATCTGCAACACCTGGTGGAGTTGACAATCAGAGACGCCTCGCTTGAGCCTTCAAGCAGCGACGTCACTCGGACACCGAAGGACAAGCGCGCCTCGACCAGAAGCGAGCATTTCGAGAAAGGGGCGGACGTCTTGGATCGGCGCCTGGGGTCCCCTGGCGGCGCCTCCCGCGCTGTCCCTGGTGCGCTCCGTGACGACAGGCAGGCAAGAGAAGGAAAGTACCCACGCGCACGCTTCTAGTCCTGCTCCTCCTCCTCCTCCTCCTCCTCCTCCTTCTCCCTTCCCCCTTCTCCTCCTCCTGCTCTTCCTCCTCCTCCTCCCTCCGTCCCCCCCCCTCCTCCTCCTCCTCCTCCTCCTCCTCCTCCTCCTCCTCCTCCTCCTCCTCCTCCTCCTCGGTCTGGGGCGGCCAAGAGGGGGGCGTTCAAGAGGGGGGGGGGGGGGCGCAAAGCATGGCCGGCGGCACGTGCGCGGCCCAGGGTGGGGCTGGGGACGCATTGAAGAGAAGAGGCGCTATGAAACCTGGGGAGATCTCGTGGCACCCGCCATGATGTCCACCCCCCCTAGTCTAAGGAGGGGAAAAAACACACTGACACAATTGATCGTCGATGCCCCGAAAATATGGGGAAATATGGGAAGTGGGGGGGAAGACAAAAACCCAGAAGATATGGAAAAATATGGGGAATCTTTTTATTTGTGTGTATTTATTTGTGTGTCCCAGGGCCCCTTTATAGTCATCACCCCCCTCGTGGCCGCCCCCCGACTCGTCCACGGGCCAGCGCCGATCCGAAAGATCCGCGCGGACCGCCGACGGTGTGCGCGCGCACGCCGCCTTTTTTGCTTGCTCGAGCGCCGGGGCGGCCACGCGTTCCAAGCTCGCTCGCGTCGGGTCGGGCATGTCCCCCTTCAAGCGGATTTTGGAGGACAAATTATTTTTGTGTTAAGAATCTGATCTCTTAAACAAAAAACGAAAACACACAAAACCATAATGACTTATGCATTTCTGTTTTTACCAAAAAGCAACAAACTATTCAAAATAATCAAAGATAGACGAACACATCGTGCCCCGACTATGTTTTGCCTATGTCTGAAGGCTCCTCCTGTAGAGGGAACAGGCCCGACCTGAACGCTCGTGCCAACCTCGACCTGCTTGAGCAGGGACCGACCGTCCCAGCATGCCCATAGTCCTACCGCGAAATGGTCTTAGAACCCCGAATTTTTCAGATAGCAAAACCAACGTTCTTAGAACATAAACCCGATGCGATCAAGCACGGCAGACCCCGCCAGAAATGCTCTGAGAACATCTCGTGGAAGCCACAAAAGGTTCTTAGAACATTGTTTGGTAGGCTCGAGTCGGGCGAAAGGGGGGGGATAGCAAAGGGGGGGTTTGAGAGTCAGCTCACGTAGCTGATTTTCCCGGCGCCTCCCGGCGCCAGAGGCGACGATGTATCGAGGAATGGGCCCCTCGGCGAGGCCGAAACCAGCTGCATGCAGCAAATTTCGTACCCCCCCCTTTCCCAATCCCCCCTCTCGTCGTCCGGCCCGATAGACCTATAGGCGAGCCAGGACGCTTCGCCACTGCTTGCGCTTCCCCTCCTCCGACTGCCCCCGCCCACGACGCGCCGAGCCGGCGACCCGGGCCGGCGAACCCCCCGGGCAGGGCTCGCTCCCGGACGCCAGCGCTGCACCACGCGCTGCCGCAGCACGACCACGCGGGTGGGCTCTCCTCCTCCTCCCTCTGCTCTTCCTCCTCCTCCTCCTCCTCCTCTCCTCCTCCTCCTCCTCCCTCCTCCCTCCCTCCCTCCTCCTCCCCCTCCCTTCCCCCTCCCTCCCTCCCTCCCCCTCCTCCTCCCTCCCTCCCTCCCCTCCCTCCCTCCCTCCCTCCCTCCCTCCCTCCGTCCCCCCCCCCTTCCCTCCCACCCTCCCTCCCTCCCTCATTTTCGCTCGTCAGGTCCGTGTCGTGTCGACTTCGGCGTTGGCTTCTGACGCCGCGGCGATCGGGGCCGTTTCCGGGATGTCCAGCTCGTTCCACGCCGAGAGATATGCTGGGTCGCCCGCGGCGCTGAAAGCTGAAGGCCGCTGGCGGGGTCGCCGCCAGTCGAGACGACGCGAGCCTAACGCACCCACCGGGCCGCTGGCGCCGCGAGCGCCTGCGCCTGACCAATGACCCCCGCCCCTCCTCAACTCGGGCACGTGCTCGCATGGATCAGGAATCCGTGGACTTTTGTTCCTCGGCAAGAAAAAATCGGAACTCCTGCCGGAGACAAGGAATCGCACCAGCCTGCAAGCGACCGGCCAGAGACAGTGGCTTACTTTGGTTCAGCGCTCAGCCCGTTAGCCTATCAGGCCGGACACGCCCTCCTCGTCCCTCGTTCCTTAAACGTTTTCGGCGCGCGCGCCCTTCACCCCCCCCTCTCTCTCTCTTTCTCTGTATCTCTCTCTTCGGGGGCGCGTAAACATGGATTAGCGATCCATGGATTTGGCGCGCGGTCGCCAAATCCATGGATCGGGGGAGGTGCCCTCCCCAAAATGCGGCCGGTGCCGCCTCGCTCGGCGGCGGAAACCCGCGACTTCCCATGAAAGCGGGACCCGTCCCTAATCCACGCCCCCTTGATGCATGTCTGCGATCGCCTGATCTCTCTCTCTCTCTCTCTCTACAGTCGGGGCGTTGACCTAAGGAACCTTAAATAAGGAACGAGGCCCCTTGATCCCAAAAGTTAAGCTTGGATTTCCCATCGAACCCCCCAGGAAAACCCAAGCCAAACTGTAAAACAATCAAGGAACACCGAGTCCCTCCCCAACGACAAGGGTTCCTTCTTCAGCGCCCTGACTGTATCTCCTCTCTCCTCCCTCCCCCTCTCTCTGTCTCTCGAGCTCTCGGGCCTGGGCCTGGGGGTCCCGGAGCGGGGGCGCCCGACGCCTCTTGCACATCGCACGGAAAGAGCAGCACACATCGGGGGCGTGCCCTGCGCGGGGCAAGCATGCTCCTCCTCCTCCTCCTCCTCCTCCTCCTCCGCCCCCCCCTTCTCGAGGGCAGGACCCCAGACCCCAGGACCCTGACTGATTCTCTCCATCCCCTTCCACGAATTACCGTCCCAATATCATCCCCGCACTCCCCATTACCGTGCGGGAGAGGGTGGTGAACGCACACGTGACCATTCAAACGCACATGTGAGTGTGAGGATGTCTGCGTGAGTATACACCGATATCTTCAGAGGATTCACGCTGTACTGTCATGTTCCACGTCCTTCCTCCCAATTTCACATCCCTATCTTCTGCGTGACCGACTAACCGATCATGTCCTCCATCTCAACATCAGTGAGCTCTCGGAACGGGGGGGCTGGCATCTCCCAGTCGCCGTTGTCGAGCAACGGCCCTTTGAGGCCGAACATGTCGTGACAAGCTGGGAGGAAAACAATATCGGGCACGGCAACCCAACATGACTTGGCCCGCCGTGGGAAAACATGCAGCATGCCCTAACCTATGAAGCCTCTGAACGGTAAGCGCGCCCTCGGTCACGAGCCACTCAACACGTGCTCGGAGCGGGAGGAGCGCTGTACAGACAAGGGCATACAGGACGAGAGAATTCGAGAGAGGCAAGATGCATGTTTCGCTTTGCGTCACTAGGAGGCAAGACGCGTGAGCCGTCAGAGGTGCAACAAAGGACGTGGCCGACTGCGTGGGAAAAAAAGCGACGCTTCGTGGCGACCTTTCGCGATGTTGCCGCCTAAAACACAGTGCCCGTGCAACCCTTTCGGCAAGTGACCGAGCAGATGATGAGTGGCGCGGTCGCGCGTGCGACCCGCCTCGATCGTCCTACTCGTCACCATCGCCACCAAAACCACCAAACTCCCCGAAACCACCACCGTCGCCACCAGCCAACCCTTCCAAGCCCCCGACCAATCCACCAGCCAGACCAGCGGCCAGCACTCCTCCAGCAACGCCGTCTTCAGAATGATCATTCTTGTCACTCCGCTCGTTGAAATACCGGAAGTCAAGGAAGAGGCCCAACGCGATGAGCATGGCCTTCCACTCGGGGTTCATGATACGGCCAAACTCGATCTCGTAATTGCTGATATTATCGGCAACCATGAACTTGAGAAAACCAGGCACGACCTTCTTCATGCTCGCCACTTCTGCACCAGTGCTCGCATCATTCACGGTGAAGTGCACTTCGCTGCACGGCCCGCACGGACAAGGGCAGATCAAGCCGAGCTGGCAACATCCTCCTTTTGCTGTCAATGTCGGTTGACCGTTCGCGTCCAAGAGATTGAACGTCATGTCACAACATGCCCACGGATCCGTGATACTACCCAACGTTTGACCAGTGGCCGAATTGACCACATCGATGACAGGCCTGTTGAAGCAACAGCAAGTGAACTGACAATCCTTGTGCAGATGGAAAAACTTCTGGGAATTGGAGAGGTCAACGCTCCCAAATGGGTTGAAACTCCAATCGAATTGCCCTTCTGCCTGTTGTGAAAGCTTTGGATCCTGACCCAGTGAGACGACGTCGACGTCGATACCGCGGCAGTCGCCGCCGCACTGGCGGTTGCAGAAGTCCGTCTGGTCCACGGCAAAGAAAAGGTTATGCCCCTGCATCGTCTTGACGACGTACTTGTTGGCCATCTCCAGCTGGACGTCCGTGCCGGTGAGCTCGCCCAGCAGCCCCACTGCAGTCTCCAGAACGTTCATCTTCTCCTCTATCTTCACCTGCTGCAAGGTGCGGAGTACCGCTAGAAGAATACAAAACTGCATGAACATAAGCTTTTGGGAATCCGCGCCGACGTCTGAGACCTGCGCTGAGCACCCCTCCCTGGCGCGCGGATCGCGCCAGGGGCGGCCCAGCGCCCATCCGAGAAATCCGCGCGGACCGTCGAAAGCTCAGGTCTATGCCACGCTTTCTTCTTCTTCGAATCGCGAAGGGGTCCACCTGCACCAGCTGCGGCGGGGCCGCGCCGACGCAGCCCTGCATCATGGGCGCGGCCATCATCTGCTGCTGCTGCGGGGGCCCGCCCATCATCTGCTGCAGATGCGCGGGCCCGCCCGTCGGCGCGGCCATCGTCTGCTGCGCCAGAGGAAGCAGCGAAGTGCACAAACGTACGCTTTCGGAGCCCCGCGCGGGTTCCTCGGATCGTCGCCGGCGCCCCCCCGCCCTGGCGCGCCAGGGGAGGCGCCGAGGAGGCGCCGTCGGGGGGGACCGACCGCCGATGCGAGAAATGCGCGCGCACCTCTGACGAGGGGCAATGATAGGGTTCAGTCGGGCGTGTCCCCCTACAGGGGGATCCAGGACCGATGATTTCAGATAGGCAAAGACTATTCAAAACATTGCCCCAGAGTGTTATTTTTTATGTTTTTTTTTTTCCTCTTCCTCCTGTAGAGGGACAAGCCCGACTTAACGATGGGGGGGGGGTGGCACTCGGGGATCTTCTGACCCGGGTCAATCCAGACCCGGGTCAGTCAAGACTGCAGGATCCTGCAAGCTCCTGCAAAATCCTGCACCCAAACCCGGGTCAATGCGAAGGATCCTGCAGGATCCTGCAGGATCCTGCACCCAAACCCGGGTCAATGCGACCCTGGCCCTGCAGGATCCTGCAAGATCGGGCGCTCTGGCTGACCCCCGTTTGCATTGACCCCCGTCTCGAGGCTCCCGAGGCACACGTGGGGGGACAGTCCCGGCCCCCGGAGCCGGCGATGCACCGCCAAGGGGTCGACGCTGGGCCCCCGATAGCGGAGCCGCACCCTCCTGGGCGGGCCGGGGCTGCCGGGCCCCCTCGGCGAGCACTGGGCGATTGGGGGGTCGACGCAATGCCCCCCCCCCCCCCCCCCCTACAGTCGGGGCGTTGACCTCAGGAACCCTACATGAGGAACGAGGCCCCTGCTTCCCATCGCATAAACTTCCATGTCCCAGGGAGAACCTGAGGAAAACGCAGGGCAAACTGTAACACAATCAGGGAACACCGAGCCCCTCCCCAACGACAAGGGTTCCTTCTTCAGCGCCACGACTGTATCCCCTGATCTGAATGTTTATGCTTATGCACTTGCTTCTTCCTCTTCGCTGCGTGGGCCCGCCCATCGGCGTGGCCACGGCCACCGGCACCCCCTGCGGGGGCGCCGGAGCCGCGACGATGGCCTGGCAGAAGGGGCACTGGAACTGCGCGGCCCCCGAGGCGATGCCGAAGACCTGCCAACCAAAGCTTGTTCCCACCCGCCGCCATAGGGGAAACGGGTCCTGAGGAAAGCGGGTTCTGAGGCTTCTCGCCGTTTTCGGGCTCTCGGGGACCTTCACGGGCTGGAGGTCCCGACCCTGCCTGCCATGGGACCCACATTCCAGCATGAGTCGGTTTGTGACGGCCCCCATGACCCTGCAATGCCCCGCGGAAGCCGAGAACTGCCAAAAATCTCCCGTCTTGATCTCTTCGCTGCTCTACGGTGTGTCCTGGGCAAAACTCCAGGGCGGATCCAGCCGTGGCGACGAGGAGTTCCCCGGAGGCCTAATGTAAGAGAATCCAGCAGAATCCAAGCTCGATCCTCAAACCGCGAACCCCGCTGACCCTTCGATCCTCGAACCCAGACGTCCGCCGACACGCTTTGTCCAATCCGACCCGCGGCCCCGGAGGTCCTGACCGCAGCCTTGGGGGTAGTTGTTCGTCCTGGGTGCACGTCGTTCATTTCTGTTCGTGCTCACTTCTAAGTGTCTTTGCTTCTAATTGTTCATGGCCCCCTAGTGGCCAGGAAGACGCTCAGGACAGAACAATTAGAAATGAAAAGGATCTTGGCCCCCCAAAAAATCAGAGAGCTTTCGAAGAATTGGAAATGAAGAATGTGTACATGCCTGCTGGTCCCAGGGCCCGGTAAAACGGCCCCCGAGGGCCCAGACCGCGGAGGAAGGCCCACGTCGAAGAGCACACCTCGTCGGCGATCTGGAGCCTCCTTCGGCGGTGGACAAACCTCCCTTTAGTAAACCTCCCTTTAGTGGAAACGGCCTAGGACCGAAACCGACGGACCTCGACCCGCAAAAATTAACGGCCGCGACGCCCTCGCGAACCGAAAACAGCCAATTCACTAATCGACGTGTCAGGGTAGGAGGTCTATCAACCTCCGACTCCTCCCCTCCGCCCAGAGAGGACCCTGCCGCAGACGCCGCACTGCAGCTGCTGCACCGCGGCCCCGCTCAGGGCCGCGAGCTGCACGGCACCCTGCATCGGCGGCTGCTGCTGCGCGGGACACGCCCACGGACAAGGCGCGCGCCGCAGCGTCCCCCGCCCAACTTGCGTCAGGTCGGGCATGCCCCCCTACAGACAGAAGATTTTGGAGAAATAAAGATACTCTACTCAAAAAGTGCCCCAACATAGTCAACAGAAAACCTCAATCGTCCCCAGACTACATCTTTGACGATGTTGAATCTTCCTCCGGTAGAGGGACAGGCCCGACTTCAAACGTGCGTTGACTTTCCGAGCCTTCCTGACATCCTCGCGCCGTGTCGAGCATGAGAGACTGTAGGTTTGTTGGCCAATGGTTATGGCCTCCGTGGGCTGTGCCTGCTGGGCCCAATGGGGCCGTCGAAGGACGGCTCGGGAGCCGAAGCCCGTCCGCGGGAAGGGATCTTGCGGGGAGCTGCGTGGACTCGAAGACACGACGTCGGATGCCTGGAGAGGTGGAGCCTCGATCCGCGATGGCGTGATTGACCCCTTGCGCCAAGAGGCTACGGACAAGCATGGCACCATGGTCATCTTCCTTCTTCTGCTCCAGCGCCGAGACACGACGTCGGATGCCTGGAGAGGTGGAGCCTCGATCTGCGATGGCGTGATTGACCCCATTGCGCCAAGAGGCTACGGACAAGCATCGCACCATGGTCATCTTCCTTCTTCTGCTCCAGCGCCGAACCGCATCATCACAGTGGCCGCCCCTACCATCGCGACTGTCGGCTACTTCTCGACACGTCAACCGTATTGACAGAAGAGTCGTCACCAGCATTATTCTCGGCAAAGACGAACCGGCAAAATGACGTACAGCAGTACGTAGCAAGAGGGGGCGGCGGATAAGGGGGCGGCGGGGTCGGGGGCGGCGGGGTCGTGGACAATCTGAAAGGCTCTGAAGTCTATCGAGGGCGTTGATTTTGACACATAATTTACAACGAGCCCGCCGCAGGCGCCGAATTTTCGTCAAAGCGATGTGGGTGGGTCGCGGGTGGGTCGCATGTGGGTCGCGGGGTGGGTCGCGGGGTGGGTCGCGGGATGGGTCGCGGGGTGGGTCGCGGGGTGGGTCGCGAGGTGGGTCGCGGGCGGGTCGCGGGCGAGGACTACGACGAGGGCGACAACAACAGCAATCACTTTAATACTGTTCGTTCTTATCCGCTCGCGTGTCATTCAACATCTCTGCCCCCATTTCGTCAATGCCCGCCCTCTTCGTCTTCGAGCATGCCCCCCCTTGGGGGTCCATCTTCCTCACCTGCCACGAACAATCTGCGCAGCCCCCAGAACAGGGGCAGGAGGGAAGGGACAACGCGGAGAGAAAGGGATGGAGCACAGCGGAGATTAGCCCGATGGGGGGGGTGGTAGGAGCAGAAGAACAAGGGGCAGAACCAGACGGGCGGGGCGGTGCGGGGCGGGCGGGCCTCGACGGCGGGGCGGAGCGGGCGGGTCGCTGAGGCGTCAGTCCCGCAGGACTCGCGGGGACGGCTCGAGCGACAGCGCAGTTCCCGGGTACGTCGTGAGGAGGTCCACAGCGAGAGCGTGCTTCCCGAGTGCCGAAGGCGCGGCGATCCCATCGGTTGCGAGGAGGCCCCGTGCGAGACCGAGAGCGCGCTGTTGCGTAAACTGTGCGGGAAGAGTTCAAGCAGGCGCCGCTGCTGCGGTAAACCGGGGGCCCGGGGCACAGTCGGAGGCCCAAGGCTTCCTCTTGCACACCAGCGGGGTGCGAGCCCCGCGGGGGGCACTTTAAGTGAAAAGACCGTGGGCACCGGGGGGGTCAACGATAATTACGCTGTAAAATTGAAACATCAAACTCCATTTTAAGACTGAGCGTTCTTGTCTGCCCGCGGCATCTCACTCAACATTGATGTCCCAAATCCTCGATGCCCGCCCTCTTCGTCTTCGATCGGAACCCACTCGGATGCATATTTTTCTTACCTGCCACGCGCGGTTGGTGCAGCCCCTAAAGCAAGGGGAGGTACGAGGGAAGGGGCAACGCGGAGAGAGGAGGATGGAACACGGCAGAGATGAGCAGGAGGGGGCTAAGAACATAAGAAAACAGTTGGCAGAACCAGACGGGCAAGTCGGGCACGGCGGGGCGGAACGGGCGGGCCTAAACGGCGGGGCCGAGCGGGCGGGTCGCTGAAGCGTCAGTCCCGCGTGAATCGCGAGGAACCCCTCGCTGTAGCGCGAGTCCCAAGTAAATCGTGAAGGACTCCAATGCGAGAGCGTGATTCCTGAGTGATTGGGGGCGCGGCATTCTCATAGCTTTTGAACCAAAACGCCGAGAACACGATTCCTGGACGAATTGTAAGGAGGTCCCGTGCGAGAGCCCGATATTGAACACATTCTGAGGATGTATCAAGCGGGAGCCGGTGTTGCAGTTCGGGGGCCAGGGGCGCGTTCTTGAGCAGCAGAGATTTCCTCTGTAAACAACAGGGGGCGAGCCCCGGGGACGAAACCTTGACCGAAAAAACAGAATGCACCAGGCAGGGGGGTCAATCGATAGTACTCGCTATGAGCGAAAACCCAACGCAACAGCATCACTCAACTTAAGACAGTTCGTTCTTCTTTGCCCTCGTGTCATTCAACATGTCCACCTCACCCGCTCGATGCCCGCCCTCTTCGTTCGAGAGTGCATCTTCCTTACCTGCCACGTGTAGTTGGCGCAGCCCCTAACACGAGGAAAGGAAGGACGGAAGCGGCAAGGGGGAGGGAGAAGGATGGAGCACGCTAGAGATTAGCACGAGGGGGGGGTAGGAACAGAAGGGGCGGGGCGGGCAGGCGGGCCCAGGCAGCGGGGTCGAGCGGGTGGGTCGCCGAAGCGTCAGCCCTGCAGGACTCACGAGACGTCCTCAGCTGTAGCGCGATTCCCACGCGAATCGTTACGAAATCCAAGGCGAGGGTGTGAGTCCTGAGCGTCGATGGCCTGGCTGCCCCATGCACTGCGAGGAAATCCGACGCGACAGCGCGATTCTTGTATGACCTGTGAGGACGTCACGAGCCAGAGCGCAATTGTGAACTTCATTGTGAAGTATCAGGCGGGGGGCGTTGCTGTTGTTGTAGTTCGGGGGCCAAGGCCGAAGTGTGAGGCGCAAGACTTTCCTCTGTAGAAGAAAAGGGTGCAAGCCCTGGGAAGGGGTACGATGCTGGAAAAAAAGACAGGATGCACCTGGCAGGGGGGTCAACACGAAGTGGCCTGTAAAAGTGCGAACTCAGCAATAACAGCAACAATGACAACAGCAACAACAACGCTCAGATTAATACTGTTCGCTCTTATCTGCTCGCGTGCCATCCAACACGTATATCCCTAACCCTCGATACCCGCCCTATTCGTCTTCGAGAGTACCCCCTTTGAGGGCTGCATCTTCTTTGCATACCACGTATATTTGGTGCACCCTCTAAAACAAGGGAAGATAGGCCAGATGGAAGGAAGGGGCAAGGGGGAGGGAGGGGATGGAGAACGAGAGGGGGTAGCAGGAGGGGGGCCATGAACAGAAAACACGAGGTAGAACCAGACGGGCAGATCTGGCGGGCACACCCGAACGGGCGGGTCAGGAAGGCGGGCCCTGGCAGGCCTCGAGCAGGCGGGTTGCTGAAGCGCGCGTCCTGCACGCATCGCGAGGGACACTCGAGAGATAGCGCGGTTCAAACATGTTCTAAGAACAAAAATAATGTTCTTAGAACATAGACCCGATCTGATAAAACAAGACAGGCTCCGCCAGAAATGTTCTAAGAACATTCCGTGGAAACCGCAAAGAAGGTTCTTAGAACGTTGTTTTTGGTGGGGCTACAGGCGAGCCAGGACGCTTCGCCGCTGGTTCCTACGGGCAGGCCCCTCCTGGGCCCCCCCCGAGTCGGTGTGCAGACGCCCTGCTGGCCCGGGCACGCGGGCAGTGTGCACCGACCCAGGGGCCCAGCGTCGGCCTGGCGAGGGACGGTGGTCGGGTGCACACCGCCGGCCGGAAGGAGCGGGCAGAGACACGAGACCGGAAGGCGCTGGGAGCAGATTTTTGAGCTGCCGCCCGCCCCCCCTGAAGAGGAGGGAAGAAGGGAACTGGTCGAGATCCTGGAAGTCGGAAGGCGCCGAGAGTAGATCTTGGGATCCGGGAATCCATCGGCTACACGCAAGAGCGACCCTGGGTAACAGTGACCTTTGGTGCGCGGCTTTTGAGGGGACCGCGGGGGGACCAAACCCGAGCGCGCCACACGCCATCATCGCATCGCGCTGGGCGATCGGGTGACCCCACTGGGCCCGCACCAAAGGTCACCCTGGCGAAGGGTCACTCCTTACGCCCAGTCGAATCCAAGACTACCCGCGCTCAACGACCGGCGCGTGCAGAGAGCGCCCTCCGCAGTCCATAAGGCGTGGCGTCGCAGGGCGTGAAAAGGTCGCCGGCGGGGGAGGGAGGCGCGGGCGGGGGCGCGGGCGGCGGCGCCCCGGCCTTCGGGCGGGAGGGTCGACCGCAGAGCTGGTGTGCCCGAGCAGAGAGCAGGGACCGACTGGGCGATTTACCCCCCCAGATGGGGATCTAGGCCGTCCCCTTCGGGTTTCGAGGGGTGCCTCCCCAACTGGGGGGGGTAACTTGGTGGGGGTCTCGAAGGGGATGGGGATGGGGATGGGGGTTGGTTAAACGATACCGAAAAGAAGGTTGGAGCATCATGAATTTGAGCAGGGACCGATCGTCCCGGCATTCCTACAGGCCTACCACGAACCTTTCTCAGAACCCAAAAATGTTCTCAGAGCAAAAACCATGTTCTCAGAACATAAGCCCGATGTGACAAAACAAGACGGACTCCGCCAGACATGTTCTAGGAACCTCTCGTGGAGGCCACAAAAGGTTCTCAGAACATTGTTTGGTAGGGCTATAGGCGAGCCAGGACGCTTCGACACTGCTTGACGAGCAGTGTTTTGCACGAGCTCGCAGCAGGCTCGTAGGTCTACGAGAACTCGGCGCATGTTCTGTCTGGTGAGCTCGACGAGCAGCTCGGGGTCAAAGGCCCAAACCAAGCCTGCAGTCGATCCCCCCCTCGGAGCCGACTCGGCTATACACGCGAGAAGGACCCCAGGCGAGAGTGACACGAGGTGCGCGGCCTGAAGGGGGGTCCTTTGTGGACACCGCTCGGCGCGCAAGCCACTTCTATCACATCGCAGTCAGCGATCGAGGAGCCCCACTGGGCCCACACCAAAGGTCACTCCGGCGAAAGGTCAGGCTTACGCGCAATCGACCTGAGACCGCAAGGGCGCCTCCCCGGACGAGGAGGCCCCGGAGTGCGCTCCGACCGGAACTTCGGAGCGAATCCGGCGGAGGCGACGAGGGCTTCCCGGGAGGGAAGGCCTCGTCGGGGAAGCGCGAGGGAAGGGAAGCGGGAAGCGCGAGGGAAGCGTCGAGGAAAGGGTCGCGAGGAAAGCGGGAAGCGCGAGGGAAGGGTCGCGGCGTCGTTGCATCGCCCGCCTCCGAGCGAGGCCTACGGCCGCAGGAGCGCCGCCAGCTCCGCGCGGCCCAGCGCGGC